GAAGCACACAGAGAACACTGGGGTAGATGGTACGAGAAAGGCCCGCCTGGGACATCTCTATTCTGCTATGGTAAGTGCCACGACTGCTGCCATGCCCAGGTACCCCTCAAGCAGCAGGACACTATTTCCACCCCTGCCCAGGACAACTCAGTGGCATGGTAGTGATAGCATCTCTCCTGTGCATGTAAGCACACCAAAGCCTTCTAGTATGCTGATAATTTCATACTTTACACCTAAACCTTCTACCATTTTAGAATTTATTTTGGTGGCACTTTTTTTCTAAATGGCTGTATCTACTTCTTATTGACTCATTCATCCTTCCCCCACCGTTTTAAAGTTCTGCCTAAGTTAGTGGGGTACATTTGGTGTTAAGAGAGGGTTGTCCACAATGGACTAACCCACTGAACACCGCACAGGGCAAAATGATACTAAGTCTATACCTGTTTGGTGTGTTAATCTGCATTAATCGTGCCTTTTTATTTTTGTATTTCTGATGATTTGTCATCTGAGGCCTTGTGGGCCTGAAGAGACTGCCCCTTCCAGGGCTACCCAATGCCTGTAATAGTAAAAGACTCACCTGGCGGTACGTTTTCACATGCAAACCAACGAATCCAGAGCCCATACCTCAACACCTCCTCTATCAGGCTCTTATGCTCTGGGCCACTATCCTTCTGCTCGAATCACTCCAGGGTCAGGTATTAGACAGCTAGAGACAACCCCTACACCGCTGAGGCCACCAAAATTATAAAAACTAGCCAATCCCGAGCCTACTCACCGTGCCTTATTTGTTCCTTCCCATGGAAAACACAAAAGGCTGTCACTGCTGTTTTCCTTTGGCTCCCTCTGCCCCTGACTGACCCTGGTGCTTCCTTGTATGGCCCCTGCATGTGGTCTGCCCCTCTCTCCTTGGGAGCTTGAGAGTGACAAACTATCTTTTCAATAACAATCGCCTCCTAATCTATGGGCCTCACCATTCCTGAATAATAATAAAACCTATGTTTAAAAATACAGTTCTTACACAGACTTAGCAGGAAAAGGAGACCGTTTATTTATTTATTTATTTATTATTTTTAGATAGAGTCTCACTCTGTTGCCCAAGCTGGACTGCAGGGGTGTGATGTCAGCTCACTGCAGCCTTGACTTCCCGGACTCAGGTGATTATCACACCTCAGCCTCCCGAGTACCCAGCACTACAGGCACATGCCACCATGTCCCGCTAATTTTTGTATTTTTAGTAGAGACTGAGTTTTACTATGTTGGCTAGCCTGGTCTTGAACTCCTGGGCTCAAGTGATCCTCCCACCCTGGCCTCTGAAAATGCTGGGGTTACAGGTGTGAGCCACTGCACCAGGTGGAGACATTTCTCTATGGCCACAAAATAATCCCTCTGAACACATTAGTGTGTTCTGATAAGTTGTCAGTCAAATGAAAGCCCATTGTACAACAATAAGAGTTGGAGAAGGAACACACTCCAGTTGGTTTTACACTTTATCATAAAAATATTTAAAGCATGCTGATATTTAAAACTGTTAAAATGTAAAAGTCTCTCTTTTTATTGATTTTAGTATATTGGAGTAGTGTTCTTGAAAATTCCCTTAAGAGCAAATATGCCTATAAATAGGAAACTTTGCAATAACTTTCTACTGATGGTTCCTTGCCCATTAGAAATATTTGGAAGTTGTAATTACTTTGTCTTACAGATTATTTGAATTACATATTGATAAGAATTTTGGGGCTTTTAATGTGTAAAGAGTTTACATTGCCTTGGTCATCAGTGTTTTAAAAAATTATTTATTATTTATGGTGATAAGTGGCTATTGAGGGGAACATAGGCAGACATTAGAATCTGATTTGAGGCCTTCCCTAGTATAATAGAAATAACTTAAATGTTTAAATAGCAGGAATTATATATGTATCAATATAATGACTTTAGTGGGTACCTCCTGTGGCAGGGGCCAAGAATGACAGACGGTCCTGTTCCAGCAACCAGGCTGTATTCATTCTATTTCCTTAGAAGACACACTGCATTCGAGATAAATGAGGCAGGGCTCTTGAGCAGACTTGCAGAAAATGTTTATATTCCTTGTTTCCAGCAGAGAATCACCTGCTGCCATCTGCTCCTACTCCAGCTGCCAAGTCCTTACAGCCAGCGGTCCACTGAGGAGCCCAGTGACTGTCAGAACACTGTGGTCTCAGAGGACTAATCTACCAGGGGAATCATCACATCACATACCCTGCTCTCCAGGTTTCTTCTCTCCAAACAACCAAGGCCTAATTTAAGGAATCTAGAAGTAATAGTAGTTAAAAGTTGTGTGAGTGCCCATTATATTATCTGAATCTATACTGCTTTGGGAAGAGTTAGTAGGCAAAACAGAACTTAGTGGCTAAGGTAAAGAGACATACAAATGACAGATAATGCTGTAAGCAACTCCCATATGCTAAAAGTCATATTTAGTGTCAGTTTACCAAAGGCCTTTGTAGAAGTGTAACTATGTCGGCATGTATAAACATTGTTGACATGGTTTCCCAAGCCTAGCAACAGACTAGATGGATTAAAAAAGTATGAATAGCAGAAATGCTAGGCACAATGGACACAGTGGTTCTTGCTGCCTGGTAGCCACTAATCTCATTCTTTCCCACTCACCCTCCCATTTTCTGCTCAGACACTGGGCAGTAACCTCTTAATTTCAAGAGAGGTAGGATTTTCCCTAGTCCCAAAGTATACATCAAAACTGCTTCCTTGTCCGAGGTGTAGAAATTGAGTATAGGTCAAAAGAAAGAAGGTTCATCAAATGAAGAACTTAGTGAGTTTAAAGTCTAGAATAAAAGTGTAAAGCTGAAAGAAGGAAGAAAGTAAGGACACAGTGTGTTAGGGAGTTTAAACATTTTAGAAAATTAGAGATATTTATCAAATATATAAATAAAGGGTAATCTTTCCCCTTATCTAGGAGAACTTAATTGCATAGAAGTAAATGTGTTTGAACAGACTGGCATGTGCTCTGAGGTCAATACCTATAATCTCTAAACCTTTTTAAACCTCTTTGCATGTTGAGGTAAGCTAGTTATCTAAAGAATAAACACAGACACTATTAAAGGCTTTTCTTGGTTGTATACACTGATTATTATTCATCAAATAGGTGACTAATTTTCTAGCATTTCAACATAGAAGCTGACCATGGGTTCACATGGATGCCACATTTGAACATAGAAGACTGTAGTCCTCATAGAGGGATGAATACTCTTGTGTTGATAAAACAGTTATATGAGGCCTTCCTGTACATCTTTTCAGTCATGGTGACAGTCATGTTAAACTCTTCTCAAGAAGCAGCCAAATTTTAGATCATGAAAAGCCAACATAGTACAGGTTCCCATATAGAAACACCAATCATCAATTCTTTGTACACCACAAGTTCCACATCTGTGAAATGAAACTTTTTCTTGACTCGCATAGAAAGCATTACAGTGTTAGTCAGGTGTTTCTGCTCAGTATACCACAGTGCTCTTATATAGAGTCTGAAAGCAAGAAACCATGTCTCAGGAACTTGGCATTCCACATGCATGCAGGAACAGGTGACGATCTAGTTTACAGTATTAGAATCTTCTTTCAAAACTGACATACTTTAAAAGTGGGACAGATAATTTTGATATTATATGTTCTTTGTTAATTGTTTTGAATAATTTTAATGTTCATTGCCTTTTAATAAAATTTATTTTACTTCATTAGTTTTTAAAGTCTATCAAAATAGAGATAAATTTTAAATAAAAATTTTAAATTTCCTTTTTTCCTTCTCATTTTATTAATCTCAGCAACAGAATTCAAATTAATTAAAACTGACAAGTACATTCCACAGGTTGACATGTTTTATTAAGAATTCTTGTTCTTGGCTTCATTTCTGCTGACTCTAAATTTTTTAAGTATGCTATTGTTCTTTCATTAGACATAAACATTTGAGCAGTTAGAGTAATTTTTTGGTATTCCCTCATAATTATTCCTCATTTTAATGTATTGTCTTCTTTTTCATGTTAAAATCTGATATTCTTTTTCTTCTTCTACTTACGCAGTACCAAATTCCTATACTTCCCCCTTTTCTCAAATATGAGTCTCAGGAATATAAACCTCCTGTATATTTATTTAGATATTTAAAAAGTATCTCCTTTATATAGTTTATGGGTTCACTTAAGTAGCCAACATACAAAACTGACCCACCATTAAGGTCTGTTAACCCAAGAGCATGATTTTAATTCCTATTGTAACAGACTCATAGTGAGTAATACTCTGTGTTCCCATGTACTTTTACAAGCTCACATAGCAGTTGTATTGTCCTGTAAGGCTACAAAATTCAAATATGCTGATAACAAAAGCTGTATAGGTTGATTAAGTTAATTGTAAGTACATCAAAAGATAGCACGTATTATTTGGTTTTCTTTTGGCTCTTTTTTTTAAAAAAAAATAAATAAAATAACATACGCAGACACACACAAATGGCCAAGTAGAAGTTTTCATTTTGACAAGCAATTACACAGAAAACTCCCACTGCTTTTGTCATCAGATCAAATCCTAAGGCACTCTACTCTCTCAAAGTTTCAACCACTAAAATGTGGGTAAAGCAAAGAATACACCACAGCAAGCACTAAACAAATATAGCAATTTAGATTTTTATCGGAAGCAGTTTTTATATGCCTTCAAATTAGCACTGGAATTCTGTATATGAACAGATACATCATGTGGCAGCAGCGATTAAAGAAAGAATCCAAGAAACACTGCACTATAATGATCACATTTCAGCGTGGAAGAACAGCACTATATCCAGTCTGTTGCCACAATGTAGACACGGTGGAGAGCTGAATGGATCATGACGGAAAACAAGGGTATAAATAAAACCGCACACAGTCTAGGTCCTGAACTGGTGGTGATATAAATATCCCCAAATTATTAAACACAATCAACAACAATACCTGGCAATTTGTCTCCAAATTAAGAACAAAGCACCCAGCTCTCACCTTGCACAAACATACACTTCAGTGGTCAGTGACAAATGCAGGCTGCACTTGCAAGCTGGGAGACAGAGCAGCTGCTCTGTCCTGAGCCGCTTAAAGCACATTCGAGCCCAACTCAGGTCCTACTGTGCTTGCTCACTGCAGTTTCTCCCATGACTCCATCACCCAGGAATGGAAACCACGGCTTGCTCCCCAGCACTAGTGGGCTCCCCAGCTACTGAGCTCAGGTAAAAACGCTGAGTCCTGCAAGGTCACCACAAGGTGACCACAAGCAAAAGGAGTGTACAGGGAAGAGGAGGGGCTGTCGTGGAAAGACCCTAAACTCCAGACGCCTTGCCTTTCGAGATTCTGAACTCTGTAAATCAGAGCTGGGACAATAAAATCTGAGAATCCCAAATGGCACCAAGCCAAGCAACCAACCCAGGGGCATTATTTGAGCAATAATCTCTCTCTGTCTCTCTAAACACACACACACACACACACACACACACACACACACACAAGTGCAGACTTCCGTGTAGCTATTCTAATTGCCCAGACATCCCTCTCAAGCCAAAAAGTTGTTTAAGGTTTCCAGGTAACAGGGCTTAAAGAAGGATGTTAGAAAATCAGAGTATTTGCCAAAATCAAATTAATTCTAAGAGCAAAATGATTTCTGGCCCATAAACTCATATTAAAAAGTCTTGTGTTTTGCATACATACTGGAATTATGCAAACTCCCATATTAAAAAAAATAGTAAAGATATATTTATTTCAGAGCTGACTGACAGAATCAATTTAAATTTCTCATAAAAATTCCTATCATCTTTTTCAAAATTAGCCTCGATTACGCACATTTTAATTTTGAGGGTCTTTAAGAAGGCATTTCTTGCCAAAAATATAATCACTCTGAATGTATATATTATAAATAGAAGCAAACATGTTAATAAATGTTTCCCTGTAGAGTCTCTCTAAGTTTTTATTTCTCATATTTTGATTTTCTTAGAAGTGGAGACGGAACAATTTTTAATCTTGCAAGTGCCTTACGAAACATTTCTTCTTAGTTGTATATATTTTTAATAGGTAAATAATGACTTACTGAATTGTAGATTGATTGCATGAGCAAGAGATTATTCTCACCCTTTAGACATTTTTTTAACCTCCTTGTCCAATCACCACTGTTCATTAGCAATTTAACCCCCTAGGCATCAGTTTTGTAATCTATAAAACAGGGATTTGTTACTAGTGCCTGTTTTGTCTACTTCCTTGGTTGGTAATATGAGGGTAAAATGGGACAGAGTGTAGGACAAAATGCTTTCTATATGTGCAGTACTTGAGAAAATGCACTTGCTGCATTTCGGCCCTCTTATTTCCCCAGTGAGTACTGGGGCTAGTAAATTACTTGCTGCATTCTCAAGGAGGGCTTCTTGGGCTTCAAGGAAACTGCTTGTTTCAAGTGGCCTATAAATAGAGTTCGAGATTTTATTGAACTGCTGTTCTCTTTGTGGTAGATCTTGAGGGCAGCCACCACATGGCCAGAGTCAGTTAATTGTGAGCAGCATGAGCCCCGTCTAGTGTTTGAGGCAGAACAAGACTAGTCGAAATTCTGGTAGAAAATGCTCACATGCATGGTTGGTTACATAGTTCGCCTGGCGTCCTGTTGTACTCCTGTGTCTGAGGGGGCTGGAGAAGAGGATTAATGAAGGGGAAAGGTTAGCTATGGAATGCCAAGTTCACTGCTGAGTTAATTCAGTAACAAATGCATCTGGGCATTCATGCTAATTTCCCTACAATTACGTATGCATTTTTTAGAGGTTAAGTTGTGGAGGGGGGTGAGGATCAGGAGAGGGAGATAGGTGGAGAACAGGAAAGGAACTAAAAATGTGGCCACCTGTCTTATGAGATACACAGGGCTGGGAGCTGGGAACTTTAGGTATATTATCTCAGTTCTCATAATAATCCTAGGAGATACCTGTTATTCTTATTTTACAGATAATCATAATTAGCCTGTACATTGTTAAAGGTCAGTGGTGAAGTTAGAATTACGATCAAGATCTGCGTGGTCTAGAGTTCCATAGTCTGAGTAAATTAGTTAGCTCTTACAGCTTTCTCAGAAAAAGAAAGGAAATAAAGTGTGGTTTTTATACAGTGAGAATAGGGAAGGCAAGAATACAAGTCACTCAGAAAAGACTAGGCAAGCTAACTTTTACAAAGAGTCCAGAGATTTTTTAAAAAATGAGTTTTGATTTTTTTTTAACAATGAATTCATTGCAGGATGCAGAAAGGAAAAATCAATTTATATTACTAGTGGCAATACTTATTTTTTAACTTGGGTCCTGCTTGTTTTTCAATTGAAGCAGCAAGTTCAGAAGTCTTTCTGTATAGTAGACTATTACTCTGGTTTTTCTAACATACACATAATGCATTATTTTACCTTAATTTTCTTAAATTATCAGACCTTTAACAATGCTCTTAAGGAAACAAGGCAATCTCTTGAACTTCGATGTCACAGAAGACTTTTTTTCAACTGTAGTGTGGAATATAGTATAGTAGCCATAATTTTCAGTCTCCTGGGTTTCAGGATGTTAATCAATTGGCAGGTTCTTTCAACCAATTTTATTGGAAAGCTAGAGGCAGAGTCTGAACTGCAGGGCTACATGTACGTGTCTCTGTTCTACCCTTTAAGTAAGTGTCATTCCCAGCTGTAAGAGAAATGTTTAAATCGTATCTGGAGTCAGTTTTCAATTATTCAGATATCTCAATTGAAAAACAATAAAAGTGGAAACAGAGTTTTAGGCACTTTCTTCAAATTATTATACTGTCCCACTAAGTTATTTCTTTTCTTTATTTTTCTTTCTTTTTTTTTTTTTTTTTTGAGACGAAATCTTGCTCTGTTGCCCAGGCTGGAGTGCAGTAGCATGATCTTGGCTCACTGTAACCTCCGCCTCCCAGGTTCAAGCTATTCTCTTACCTTAGCCTCCCTATTAGCTGGGATTACAGGAACATGCCACCACACCTGGCTAATTTTTATATTTTTAGTAGAGATAGGGTTTCTCCATGTTGCCCAGACTGGTCTTGAACTCCTGACCTGAGGTGATCCAACCATCTTGGCTTCCCAAAGTGCTGGGATTACAGGCATGAGCCACCAACCTGGCTGGGTATTTAGTTACTCAAACACTACTGCTAGTATTGCCCTAGTGTAATTAACACGGCAGAAAATAAGAGCACATTGCTTCCTCCCTTTGTCTCTGAACCTCCATTTTTTTTTTTCTCTTGGATTTTAAGATCCCGATCTTAGAATCATATATGGAAAAGATACTTGCACTGAAGTTTATAAGTATGAAGAAGAAAGCATCCAGAAGAATCGGTCAACATTTGCAATCAGTGAGGAGTATAAATAAGATGTTTTGGTTTTCTATTTGGTTCATGCTACCCGCCTGATGTTTCCTAGAGGCAGTGTTTCATTTCACACAGATACTCATGAAGGTCTGGCCTGAAATCCTTGTAGTCTTTCCACTTAGGGTAGAACTGGGTTCATGGATGAATTAGATGGGGTTGTTTCTAGTTGTGTCAACTAATCAAGACAAGTATTTTTCTAACACATTTCCCCTGCCGCTCCCTTCCATTTGGCTTTTTTATTTAGGCCTTAGAAACAACTCCAAATGATAATACTTATAAGCTGTGAAGAGCAAATATTGTCGAAACACTGAAAGTCATTTAGGCATAAAAATGAAAGTAATCCAAAATGTGAAAGCTTTTAGCAACCATCTTATGCCATCTTATGTGGATGTTTAAAGATAATCTGTGTGAGACCTCTTAACCTATTCTAGAAAATGTGGCACAGGTATAGAGTTAAAACCATGAAATTAAACACTTTCTGAGCAGTATAATTTGCTGTATTTCTAAATATAATTGTGTTTTTTTGCTCGATGGTAATATTTTTCTAGATGGGAAAGATGTACTTCTTAATGCCTTTTCTATCTTGAAATATAAAGAACCAATGTCTTGCTTTCATTCAAAATTTCCTAAATACATTCAAGTGGTTTCAGAAAAAGAAAAAGAAGAAAGGAAGGGAAGGGAAGAGAAGGGAAGGGGAGGGGAGGGGAGAGGAGGGAGGGAGGGAGGGAGGAAGGAAGGAAGCTGAAGATTATCCCTTTGTGAACTTTGGAGAAGGAATTCCTGGGCCCTTAAAGCTTTAAGATGTACAAACAAGGTAATTGAACATATTTGAAATATTTGTAAAAATACAGCCTTGTACTATAATTGTACCCCCTCCCCAAACACACACACACCTAAAGCATAAACCATTTTAGTCAGGTGGCTCATGGCCAGCAAAGGCCATTAGTCACCCAGCTGCCTGAGATGAGTAATAACAGTGTCAGCTGCTGTTCCATCAAAACACTGCATGTGAGGTTCCTTCAGTAAGCCTGGGACACATGGGAACATGGGTGCTCCTGCTTCCACCAACTGAATCCTTGAGGGAAAAAAGGGAAAAACCTTCAAAAGCATTAGTGTCAATGCCCCTAGTTCTTAAAAGACTAAATGTATCTATTGAGCTAGAAGCTCAAAAATATAAACACGTAATATTTTTCAAAACAACAATCACCAATAAACTCTCTTAAGAAAAACAGTAAATACTTTTACATATGTTTTATCTTCGGTTTGGCCTGTAACCAAAATAATGCATAGGTTTGCATTATTCCTACTCTTTAACTGGAATAGTGTTATCATTCAAGTTACTTTTGGAAGTCGAATAAAGTTTGAATACACTTAAATTATATTTTTATGTAATGATCTGATATTATTCTAAATCTCATCTTGGTTGATTTAAAAAGTAATTAAAAATTAATAATTTATGCCTTCATATAAAAATAATAGGCTGGGCATGGTGACTCATGCATGTAATCCCATCACTTTAAGAGGACAAAGCAGGAGGATCATTTGAGGCCAATAGTTCAAGACTGGCATGGGCATGGGTAATATAGTGAGATATTTTTTCTACAAAATATTTTTTAAAAATTAAACAGGCATGATGCCATGTGCCTACAGTCTAGAGGCTACCCAAAAGACTGAGGCAGGGGGATCACTTGAGCCCAGGAGTTTGAGGCTGCAGTGAGCTATGACTATGCCACTGCACTCCAGCCTGGGAAACAGAGCAAGACCCTATCTCAGAATAATCATAATAATAAGAGTAAAATATTTGTTTTATGGATTATATTTTATCATTAAAAAGACAACTTTTTCAACTTTAATCTACTCAAGGTAATGATCATATCTGTTCAAAATTTAGGAATTTACTATGAAAACAAGTTTCTATTTAAACTTAAAGATCTTAATATTGGCTGGGCAGGGTGGCTCATGCCTGTAATCCCAGCACTCTGGGAGGCCGAGGCAGGCAGATTACCTGAGGTCAGGAGTTTGAGACCTGCCTCAACATGGCAAAACCCCGTCTCTACTAACAATACAAAATTATCTGGGCGTGATACTGCATGCCTGTAATCCAGCTACACGGGAGACTGAGGCGGGAAACTTGCTTGAACCTGGGAGGCGGAGGTTGCGGTGAGCTGAGATTGCACCATTGCATTCCAGCCTGGGTAACAAGAGAGAAACTCCGTTTCCAAAAAAAAAAAAAAGAAAAGAAAAAAAGATCTTAATATTAAAGAAAATTATATCTACAGGCTCATCACCTGTACAGTATGCCTATTTATCTGCATACAAATATAAATGTATACATATGTCTATTCCAATATTTTTCATGTGTAGAGCTTTATGTGGTTGTAGTCATAGTACATATATACATTTTTGATTATTTTACTTAGAATATTTTATAAGCATTTTTAGTATAAATTTTTGATTTATTATTTCACTTAGAATGTTTTATAAGCATTTATACTTATATCTCCAATCTTTAAATGAGATATAAAACAGTAGGTAAACTGTAAAATAAAATATTTATATATTGTTATTTTCAATGCTTGCATAATATTTTTGAATTAATATGATACAGCTTACTTAAACTTTATTTGAAAGCACACATTTGTTTCCAGTTTTGTTAGTAAAATTATACTTTTATGCTACTACAAAGTTTTCTACAGATTTCTTTTTTAAGATCTTTTAGAACAAATTTCTAGAAAAATGAATCAGTAGATCAAAAAGTCTATTCTTCTTTGTCTCTCAAAAGTTGAAGAACAATTCATTGTGGTGAGTGTTGGCCAAACTCCTCAGTGTCACTGTATTTCAGTTTCTTTTAAAATTATTATTATTGAGCAAATACATATATTTTAACTTTTACTTTAGATTCAGGGGTACATATGCATTTGTTGTATAGGTAAATCACATCTCATGGGGGCTTGGTGTACAGATTATTTCACCATCTAAGTAATAAGTATAAAACCCAGTAGTTAGTTAGATCCTCACCCTGCTCCCTCCTTTCATCCTCAAGTAGGACCTAGTGCCTGTTGTTCCCTTCTTTGTGTCCATATGTACTCAATGTTTAGCTCTCACTTATAAGTGAGAGCATGTGGTATTTGGTTTTCTGTCCTGTCTTAGTTTGCTAAGGATAATGGCCTCCACCTCCATCCATGTTGTTGCAAAGGATGTGATCCTGCTCTTTTTCACAATTGCATAGTATTCCACAGCATATATGTAACACATTTTCTCCAGTCTACTGCTGATAGGCATTTAGGTTGATTCCATAGCTATGCTATTGTGAACGGTGCTGTGATGAACATATGCATGCATGTATCTTTATAATAGAACAATTTATATTCCTTTGGGTACATACCCAATAATGGAATTGCCAGGGCTAATGGCAATTCTGCTTTTGAGTTCTTTGAAAAAATGCCAAATGAAAAAGTCATGTTGGAAGGCTAAGGGGAAGCAGCCATGTCTTACATGGTCACAGCAAAAGCAAGATAGAGGGGTGAGAAGGTGCCTCACACTTTAGAATGACTAGATCTCACAAGAACTCACTCACTATCACAAGAACAGCAGCAACAGGAAAATCTGCCCACATGATCCAATCACTTCCCACCAGGCCCCGCCTGAAACACTGGCGATTACAATTTGACATAACACTTGGTCTGGACATAGATCCAAACCGTATCGATGGCTGAACTAATCTACATTCCCCATCAGCAGTGTATCAGAGTTCGCTTTTCTCCACAACCTTGCCAACATCTGTTATTTTTTTACTTTTTAGTAGTAGCCATTCTGACTGGTGTGAGATAGTATCTCACTGTAGATTTGATTTGCATTTCTCTAATGAGTAGTGATATTGAGCATTTTTTTCATATACTTATTGGCCATGTATATGTCTTCTTTTGAAAAATGTCTGTTCATGTGTTTGCCCACTTTTTAATGTTGTTGCTGTTTTTTACTTGTTGATTTGTTTGAATTTCATACAGATTCTGGATATTCGACTCTTTTTGAATGTATAGTTTGCAAATATTTTTACCCATTCTGCAGGTGGTCTGTTTACTCTGGTGACAGTTTATTTTCCCGTGCAGAAGTCCTTTAGTTTAATTAGATTCCATTGGGCAATTTTTGGGTTTTGTTGCAATTGCTTTGGCATCTTTGTCATGAAATCTTGGTGAGGTCCTATATCCAGAATGGTATTTCCTAGCTTGTGTTTCAGGGATTGTATAGTTTTAGGTTTAAAATTTAAGTCTTTAATCCATTTTGAGTTGATTTTTGTATATAGCATAAGGAAGGAGTTCAGTTTCAATCCCTGCATATGGCTAGCCAGTTATCCCATTACCATTTATTGATAGAGAGTCCTTTCCCCATTGCTTGTTTTTGTTGACTGTGTCAAAGATTAGATGGTTGTAGGAGTGTGACATTTTTTCTGGATTCTCTATTATTCATATTTTACATGCTATATTTACTATTTATTTATTTATTTATTTGAGACAGAGTTTCACTCTGTCAGCCAGGCTGGAGTGCAATGGCATGATCTCAGCTCACTGCAACCTCCGCCTCCCGGGTTCAAGCAATTCTTCTGCCTCAGGCTCTCAAGTAGCTGTGATTACAGGCACCTGCCACCATGTCTAGGAAATTTTTGTATTTTTTAGTAGAGATTAGGTTTCACCATGTTGGCCAGGCTGGTCTCGAACTCTTGACATCAGGTGATCCACCTGCCTCAGCCTCCCAAAGTTCCGGGATTACAGGTGTGAGCCACTATACTTGGCCTACATGCTATAGTTTTAAGAGTAATTTTAAAGTTGTTATTTTAATACTTATTGCTCAATATGCCCACATAATTTCCATATTATTTAAATGAGAAAACACAGAATACATTAGAACAGTGAAAACAAGTTTGTAATCACATGTAAACTTGCTTTCTTATGTAGAATTTTCTTTATGTTAAAAGGTTATGCTAAAAAATAATATTCAAACACAAGGCAGAATTTTAGTTATAAAAGTCTATAATAAAACATATTGTGTAAAAAATAAGAAAGCTAGTCTATTTTGGGCCGGGTGCAGCGGCTCATGCCTATAATCCCAGCACTTGGGAGGCCGAGGCGGGCAGATCATGAGGTCAGGAGATTGAGACCATACTGGCCAACATGGTGAAACCCCGTCTCTACTAAAAAATACAAAAATCAGCTGGGTGTGGTGGCAGGTGCGTGTAATCCCAACTACTTGGGAGGCTGAGGCAGAAGAATCACTTGAACCTGGGAGGCAGAGGTTGCAATGAGCCGAGATCATGCCATTGCACTCCAGCCTGGGGTCAGAGTGACACTCCACCTCAAAAAACAAAACAAAACAAAACAAAAAAGTTGGTCTATTTTTCTTTTACTTTTCTTTCTTTTTTTTTTTTTTTAAGACAAAGTCTTGCTCTTGTCCCCCAGTCTGGCACGTCTCAGCTCACTGAAACCTCCGCCTCCTGGGTTTAAGCGATTCTCCTGCCTCAGCCTCCTGAGTAGCTTGGATTACAGGTGCGTGCCACTATGCCCAGCTAATTTTTTGTATTTTAAGTAGAGATGGGGTTTCACCATGTTGGCCAGGCTGGTCTCGAACTCCTGACCTCAGATGATCTGCCCGCCTTGGCCTCCCAAAGTGCTGGGATTACAGGCATGAGCCACCACGCCTGGCCAGTCTATTTTTCAAAAATATAAATCTGCAGTATAGAAGAGCTTTCTTACGGTATGTTAATAAATTTGTATTAAATACATTTTTTCTTTTACTCATTTTTCTTTTTACTACCATTGCACATTTCAACAAAGAGAATTAGAAAAACAAGGAAAACCTAACTACCACCAAGAATCAGCAACAAAGGTGGAAAAATTACTGGAATGTGAGTCAGCCAGATCCAGCCATTTCCCCAACTGAGCAACCTTGGGTAAATCACTTTCCTCTCTCTGTTTCTACTTTCTTAACTGTCAAATGAGATTGCAATCAGATATTGGACGTGGAAATGAGATGTAAACTGAGAATCTAAAGAGTTGTCATTATATGACAGTCTGCACTAAATTTTATAAATTTGGCATTACACTGATTTTTAAATGAACTCCATGAGTTTTACTGCCAGGCAATTCTAAGTAATAACACAATATAAAGGCATATGGCCATCAGCATATGCCAATATTTATTCGTAAAGCAAAGTATAGAGGAAGGATGTGTAAAAATTTAATTTGTAGGCGTTTCCATACAGCTTTTGCAGCTGCACAACTTTTCAAACTGGCTAACCTATGGCTCTCAAAAAAGTTGTATCTTTTGAAAAGTACCTCCCTCCATAAGCCCCATGACATTTCTGTTTAAAACAGAACAAAA